GGGTTTCGCGTAAATTCTTGAAGATATCGTGCCGATTTAACTGGAGAAAATCGGTCGAGGACATCGCGTTTTATTTGAGGTTATGTCGCGTCGTCGAAAAACATCAACAACAATGAAGTTGGTCGTGCGTTGCCAACTGTAAAATAAAAAAGATTTTTTTAAATAATTTTAATAATTTCGTTGAAAATGTTCGAAACTAACGTGTAAGTAAGTTTGTTTTGAGTTTGTAATAATATAATGGACGTGTTTATAAACGGGTTTCTACATTCGTAGTTTATTTATTGTGCCCGTTGAATGAATGAACAATATGACCGAGCTGGGTCTGATTATTTGTTTTGTAATGTATTGTGAGTGGACTGGGTATTGTGTCCAGTAGGAGAGTTTCGGCGACGATTCTCTTCGCGATATGGCACCCACCTGCATTATGCACCACTTGAAGGGGGAAAAAAACTTGAAACAGAAACAAAGTTATAACTTTCAAAGTCGATATCTCATTTTGGTTCTCTATTTTCATTAAAATTTAACTTATTTACTAAAACCCCATTGCAATTTTAATTTTAATTACACAAATAACACAACACAACACACAATTAACGTTTTAAGCGCCATCTTTCGGTTAATTGTAATAACGTTACGTTTAATTGTAATTTTCCAGGTTAAGATCACAAGAAGGGATTTATTAAGGGTTTTTTAAAGTAGAAACAAATTCAAACCATCTGTCGTCGTCGTTTTGGTCGTAAACAAATAGATCGCACGTGATCAGAAACATGTGGGGCGTTATTGATACGTACCGATATTTCAAGGGGCCCCTTTCGCCCCTCGTTGAGGGCGACGTGATGTTTGCGCTGGTCATTATGGGGAAAATGTATATACAGGAGCATTAGTGCGTTTACGCTCCCTTCTCATACCATCGTAATCATTGAATCCCTCCGGATCTCTTTCCATCCGCGATATGGGGAGAAAAGGGAGCCGTGTACCTGGCAGTTTAAGATTTTCCACCAACTGAAGCGTTCAAAATTAATGTTTGCGGAAGATATTTTGCTGGTTTGTTCAAACTTGAATATATCGATATCTGTCAACTTACTTGAACTTAGTGACAGTTGGTATGATTAACAGGGAATTTTGTTGTATCAAGTTTTAAAATCGCGTTATGTCACATTGACGTTAATCAAAAAGACGATTTCGTTTTTGCTTTTATATTTTTTTTTTACTTTTATACACGAATAATTGAAATAAAATAAACGTAAGAAACGAAATTTGATAAATAACGTAAATTTTTAAGTACTCTAAATTGTAATACCAACAAAAACACTAAAAAAAAATTATTTTGACAGGTGTCAAAAAGCAGATTCTAACAGCAACGTTCTTTCAGGTATTAAATAATACTTTTTTTTGTTATAAACTACTAAGACAGCTTTATTAAGCCGAGGTCGCTTGCGGCCGAGGCCTTAGCATTAATACCACATTAATACAAATTTGATATCGTACAATGCAGTGCTTTTTTGTCTAAATAAACTGCAACAAACGATGTCATATATTAAGCCGAGGTCGCTTGCGGCCGAGGCTCCAGCGCTATTTCATACAATACAACGACTTGGGTAAATAAACTAGAATGCACGATATCGTTATATTAAGCTGAGGTCGCTTGCGGCCGAAGCCTTAGCATTAATACCATATTAACACAAATTTGATATTATACAATGCAGTGCTTTGTCTAAATAAACTGCAATAGACGATGTCATATGTTAAGCCGAGGTCGCTAGCGGCCGAGGCTTTAGCTTTAATATCATATGAACCCAAAACTAATGTCATACAATGCAACGACTTGGCTAAATAAACTAGAATGCACGATATCGTTATATTAAGCCGAGGCCTTAGCATTAATACCATATTAACACAAATTTGATATCATACAATGCAGTGCTTTGTCTAAGTCTAATTAAAATGGAATACACAATGTCATATATTAAGCCGAGGTCGCTTGCGGCCGAAGCTTTAGCTTTAATATCATATGAACCCAAAACTAAAGTTTTACAATGTCGTTATATTAAACTGAGGTCGCTTGCGGAAGAGGCCCTAGCATTAATACTATATCAATACAAAACTGATGTAAGAAAATTCATTATCTTGTCTAAATAAACTGGAATGAACGGTGTTGTTTGTTAAGCCGAGGTCGCTTGCGGGCAAGGCCCTAGCATTAATACTATATTAATACAAAACTGATGTCAAAAAATGCGTTATCTTGTCTGAATAAACTGGAATACACGATGTTATTTCGTTAAGCCGAGGTCGCTTGCGGCTGAGGCCCTAGCATTAATACTAGTGATGGAATGGATAGTGATTTTACGAAAAGCCAGATACCGGATATTCGGCATCCCCTTCGGACGGATATTCGGCCATTATGGTTATAATTTCTGGTGCATTTTTGAAGTGATTGCTACATTATTGTGATATTTGAATAAAAATTAAACTAATAAGAAAGCTGATAAGATATGTCAATTTATTTGGATCCAAGATACAAAATGAACTTTTTTGATGCTGATTTAACTAACGAAGCAACTCTAAAAAGAGGATTAATGATTGGCGATATTTCCATAAGGATCCTTCAAGAAATGTATTTTATAGCGAATTTTGAAAGTTATCCATAAAAATAGCAACATCGAAAATTTTATCAAAACTTCAAATATTGTTTTCTCAAAAACTAAAAGTTATTTTTCAAAACGTGTTGATTCATTGGAAAGAAGACACGAGGCTTNGCCTTAGCATTAATACCATATTAACACAAATTTGATATTATACAATGCAGTGCTTTGTCTAAATAAACTGCAATACACGATGTCATATATTAAGCCGAGGTCGCTTGCGGCCGAGGCTTTAGCTTTAATATCATATGAACCCAAAACTAATGTCATACAATGCAACGACTTGGCTAAATAAACTAGAATGCACGATATCGTTATATTAAGCCGAGGTCGCTTGCGGCCGAGGCCTTAGCATTAATACCATATTAACACAAATTTAATATCATACAATGCAGTGCTTTGTCTAAATAAACTGCAATACACGATGTCATATGTTAAACCGAGGTCGCTTGCGGCCGAGGCTTTAGCTTTAATATCATATGAACCCAAAACTAAAGTTTTACAATGTCGTTATATTAAGCTGAGGTCGCTTGCGGAAGAGGCCCTAGCAATAATACTATATCAATACAAAACTGATGTAAGAAAATTCATTATCTTGTCTAAATAAACTGGAATGAACGGTGTTATTTTGTTAAGCCGGGGTCGCTTGCGGCCGAGACTCTAGCTTTAATACTATATCAATGCAAAACTAATGCCATACAATGTAACGACTAGGCTAAATAAACTGGAATGCACGATGTTGTTTGTTAAGCCGAGGTCGTTTGCGGGCGAGGCCCTAGCATTAATACTATATTAATACAAAACTGATGTCAAAAAATGCGTTATCTTGTCTGAATAAACTGGAATACACGATGTCATTTTGTTAAGCCGAGGTTGCTTGCGGCTGAGGCCCTAGCATTAATACTAGTGATGGAATGGATAGTGATTTTACGAAAAGCCAGATACCGGATATTCGGCATCCCCTTCGGACGGATATCCGGCCATTATGGTTATAATTTCTGGTGCATTTTTGAAGTGATACCCTATATTGCCACATTATTGTGATATTTGAATAAAAATTAAATTAATAAGAAAGCTGATAAAATATGTCAATTTATTTGGATCCAAGATACAAATGAATATTTTTGATGCTGATTTAACTAACGAAGAACTCTAAAAAAGGATACTTTAATTAATAATTGGTGATATTTCCATAAGAATCCTTCAAGAAATTAATTTTATAGCGAATTTTGAAAATTGCAATTTTATCAAAACTTCAAATATTATTTTCTCAAAAACTAAAAGGTATTTTTCAAAACGGGTTGGTTCATTGGAAAGAGGACACTTTTATTAACACTTTGGGAAATTTTCATACCTATATTCCAAGAAATGGATTTTATACGAATTTTTAAAACTTAATCGGCGAAAATTGCAAAATTCGAAAAAATTGTCAATTATTTCAAAAATTAATTTTTCAAAAACTAAAAGCGATTTTTCAAAACGACTTTTTGCATTAAAAAGAGGATACTTTAATTAATAATTGGTGATATTTCCACAAGAATCCTTCAAGAAATTAATTTTATAGCGAATTTTGAAAATTGCAATTTTATCAAAACTTCAAATATTGTTTTCTCAAAAACTAAAAGGTATTTTTCAAAACGGGTTGGTTCATTGAAAGGAAGACACTTTTATTAACACTTTGATAAATTTTCATACTCATATTCCAAGAAATGGATTTTATACGAATTTTTAAAACTTAATCGGCGAAAATTACATAATTCTGTTACATAATTAAAAAATTGTCGATTATTTCAAAAATTTATTTTTCTAGAACTAAAACTTGATGGAGTGGAGAAAACAAAAATTTAAGACAACTTTGTTGTCACTGGCGGCATCTTTCTATGAAGAGACATTTTTGAACACCCTGTATAAGATATACCGATGTAGCCAATGGTCCTCTATTTAACGATATCCAAGCAGCAAGTGACTAAAAGCGGTAAGTATTAACATATCTTATCAAAGTCAACATATTTTGTGTGTTTCAATAATGTGTGTTTATTTCGGTACGTCGTTATGGAACACCTGTATGTATAAAAATTTTATTTATTTATTTTCCGTTTATAGCATGGTAAATTTCCCAAAACCTTGTCTAAGGAAGAATTGTGTATCTCGGCTTTTTAATGCCATTTATGTAGTTTCCTGCTTACGTGGGACACCTGTATATATATATATATATATACAGGGTGGCCTAATAAGTGTGCAAAGTATTATATTTCGGAAACTATTTATTTTAAGGACTTGCGGTAAAAAATTTATACGACTAAAATGGCTAAGAGAAAATCCTGGAAATTATTTTCAGGTTTTTAAGACGACCGCTAGGGGGTATAAACGCCATCTTGAATTAAAAAATGTTGTTTTTTTCGGAATTTCACCGTATTAGCATTACAAAAGCCATTTGTTTTGATGTTGTAGATAATTTTCGCTTAAAATCAGACATTCAAAAATGTTAATTGTGTTTATCCAGACGAATTAATCATTAAATTAGGAAAATAAAAATTAAATTTTACAACGTGAAATTAAAAGCCCGAAATCAATCGAGTATATAAGGAGATTAATTTATCGCAAACCGCATTAAATAAAACATCGAAAATGAAATATCTTTTGGTACTTTTTGGTTTGATTGCTGCATCAAGCGCAACTCATCCAGCCACTGAAACATGCAAAAACAAGATCGCTGCTTGTCTCGAATCAGGCCCCATAATTCTACTTCCCGATATTATTATCCAAAGCAACATTAACTTGGTAAGATCACTTCAAATACAATTTATTTAAAAATAAATTAATTTTAAATTTAGCTCGGAATGGTTGTTATCGAAGTTTCCATTGAAGTTGATTTTTCTCCAATCGCTGCTTTGGTCAGACTTGGTACGGAATTATCTTACAACGAAACATCTTCCGGTGGAGTTGTAACCGCGTCAATCAGCATCGGAGTTGCTGTTGGCATCGATTTGAACTTAAACGCGGAGATCATCGTAAAACTTTTAGGTTTGATTCAAATCGGTGTTGGATCTTGCGTTATTACCATCGTTGATCTTGATATCACCATAAATGTGATAGCTACTTTCGCGGATGGTGACGCGGCCAACTGCAAGATGAAGCAAATTACGGTTGATTGTAACAAATCGTAAGTTGATTTTGAAAAGAAATTTCTTATTAATACAAGGTGATTTGTTTATAGGAGTTGTATTGTTTCCAATTCGGGTAATGCCAATGTTGATTTAGCAATGGGAAATTCCAAAAATAATATTTGCAACTTATCGTACGATTATTTCGAAGACGCCCTTCAAAATATTCTTGATAATTGCGTTGAAGTTTAATTTTGTTGATTAACTTTCGAAAATCATAAATAATAAAGTGATTAAAGTAATTGAATGTTTTATTGGTTATAACTCAGAAACTAAGTGTTGAATGGTTTTAATAAAAAATGTTTATAATGGAGCAATAAAACATAATCCATAAACAATTTGTTTCTAATTATTATGAATTTTTATTTAGAAGTTATGGAATCAAAAAATGTTAAAATTGACGTTTTTGGGTTATAATTTTGGTTGTATCTCGAAGACTAAAAGTGTTAGGGGAAAATATTGCTAATGAAAATTGTTTGTTATGGAGTAACAAAAAATAATTTATGAGCGATTATGCCCCGCTTTTGATTGTTACCAACCCAACAGATTTAAAACCCCAAATACTTCAAAATCGACATATTTAAAAACAAAATGGGTTGTAACTAAAAAATGAAAGATGTTGGGTGATAATGGTATTAATAAAAAGTGTTGGTAACGAAGCATAATAACATAATCCATAAACAATTTGTTTCTAATTATTATAAATTTTTAGTTAGAAGTGATGGAATCAAAAAATGTTGAAATTGACGTATTTGGGCTATAATTTTGGTTGTAACTTGAAAATTAAAATTGTTGGGAGAGAATGTTACTGATGAAAATTGATTGTTGTGAAGTAACAAAAAATAATTTATAAGCGATTATACCCCGATTATGCTTATTACCAACCTAAAAGATTTAAAATCCCAAACATATCAAAATGAAGACATTCAACAACAAAATGGGTTATAACTCAAAAATTAAAGATGTTAGGTGAAAATGATTTTAATAAAAAATGTGCATAATAAAGCAATAAAACATAATCCATAAACAATTTGCTTCTAATTGTTATGAATTCTTATTTAGAAGTGATGGAATCAAAAAATGTTAAAATTGACGTTTTTGGGCTATAATTTTGGTTGTAACTCGAAAATTAAAAATGTTGGGAGAGAATGTTGCTGATGAAAATTGATTGTTGTGGAGTAACAAAAAATAATTTATAAGCGATTATACCCCGATTATGCTTATTACCAACCTAAAAGAGTTAAAATCCCAAATATATCAAAATGAAGACGGTCAACAACAAAATGGGTTATAACTTAAAAATTAAAGATGTTAGGTGAAAATGATTTTAATAAAAAATGTTCATAATGAAGCAATAAAACATAATCCATAAACAATGTATTTCTAATTATTATGAATTTTTATTTAGAAGTGATGGAATCAAAAAATGCTAAAATTGACGTTTTTGGGTTATAATTTTGGTTGTAACTAGAAAATTAAAAATGTTGGGAGAGAATGTTGCTGATGAAAATTGATTGTTGTGGAGTAACAAAGAATAATTTATAGGCGATTATACCCCAATTATGCTTAATACCAACCTAAAAGATTTAAAATCCCAAACTTATCAAAATGAAGACATTCAACAACAAAATGGGTTATAACTAAAAAATTAAAGATGTTAGGTGAAAAAGATTTTAATAAAAAATGTTCATAATGAAGCAATAAAACATAATCCATCAACAGTTTGCTTCTAATTGTTATGAATTCTTATTTAGAAGTGATGGAATCAGAAATGTTAAAATTGACGTTTTTGGGTTATAATTTAGGTTGTATCTCGAAGACTAAAAGTGTTAGGGGAAAGTGTTGTTGATGAAAATTGTTTGTTATGGAGCAACAAAAAATAATAAATAAGCGATTATACCCCGATTATGCTTATTACCAACCTAAAAGATTAAAAATCCCAAATATATCAAAATGAAGACATTCAACAACAAAATGGGAACTAAATGGGTTATAACTCAAAAGTTAAAGATGTTAGGTGAAAATGATTTTAATAAAAAATGTTCATAATGAAGCAATAAAACATAATCCATAAACAATTTGCTTCTAATTGTTATGAATTCTTATTTAGAAGTGATGAAATCAAAAAATGTTAAAATTGACGTTTTTGGGTTATAATTTTGGTTGTAATTTGAAAATTAAAAATGTTAAGAGAGAATATTACTGATGAAAATTGATTGTTGTGGAGTAACAAAAAATAATTTATAAGCGATTATACCCCGATTATGCTTATTACCAACCCAAAAGAGGTAAAATCCCAAATATATCAAAATGAAGACACTCAACAACAAAATGGGTTATAACTCAAAAATTAAAGATGTTAGGTGAAAATGATTTTAATAAAAAATGTTCATAATGGCAATAAAACATAATCCATAAACAATTTGCTTCTAATTGTTATGAATTTTTATTTAGAAGTGATGGAATCAAAAAATGTTAAAATTGACGTTTTTGGGTTATAATTTTGGTTGTAACTCGAAAATTAAAAATGTTAGGAGAGAATGTTGCTGATGAAAACTGATTGTTGTGGAGTAACGAAAAATAATTTATAAGCGATTATACCCCGATTATGCTTATTACCAACCTAAAAGATTTAAAATCCCAATCATATCAAAATGAAGACATTCAACAACAAAATGGGTTATAAATCAAAAGTTAAAGATGTTAGGTGAAAAAGATTTTAATAAAAAATGTTCATAATGAAGCAATAAAACATAATCCATAAACAATTTGCTTCTAATTGTTATGAATTTTTATTTAGAAGTGATGGAATCAAAAAATGTTAAAATTGACGTTTTTGGGTTATAATTTTGGTTGTAACTCGAAAATTAAAAATGTTGGGAGAGAATGTTGCTGATGAAAATTGATTGTTGTGGAGTAACAAAAAATAATTTATAAGCGATTATACCCCGATTATGCTTATTACCAACCCAAAAGAGTTAAAATTCCAAACATATCAAAATGAAGATATTCAACAACAAAATGGGAACAAAATGGGTTATAACTCAAAAATTAAAGATGTTAGGTGAAAATAATTTTAATAAAAAATGTTCATAATGAAGCAATAAAACATAATCCATAAACAATTTGCTTCTAATTATTATGAATTTTTATTTAGAAGTGATGAAATCAAAAAATGTTAAAATTGACCTTTTTGGGTTTGATTTTTGGTTGTAATTCGAAAATTAAAAATGTTAAGGAAGAATATTGTTGATGAAAATTGATTGTTGTGGAGTAACAAAAATTAATTTATAAGCGATTATACCCCGATTATGCTTATTACCAACCCAAAAGAGTTAAAATCCCAAATATATCAAAATGAAGACATTCAACAACAAAATGAGTTATAACTCAAAAATTTAAGATGTTAGGTGAAAATGATTTTAATAAAAAATGTTCATAATGAAGCATAAAAACATAATCCATAAAGAATTTTGTTCTAATTATGATAAATTTTGAGTTGTAAAAGGATTTTCCTTAAAAGATTGAGTTATCTTTATGATGCGTAAAGATCGATGTAACACAATGCGATTTCGTTTTTGTTGTTCGCTGAAAAGTCCCGACGTATTCGTTCCGGTTATCCTAAGGGATACAATGGCCTCGCTTGGACCGGGCGGGTTTTGAAATACGAATCGAGGCTTCTCCAAAAGTCACGTCACAACAAAAGTTTTTCTTGACATGTTCGGACTGGTGCTTTGCTCGCTCGTGCACGCCCCGTCGATTTCAACAAAAACGCTTTTTGCATACTCGCGCGTCTCACCCGGATATCCGATTATCTAATCCAAAAACTCTTTTGTTAACCAAACTAAATTTCAAACATATTTTTCGTTATTATATCGAAAGATATAAAAAGAAATAAATGAAATAAAGGAGATGGAGATGGAAAAAGGGGTCCTTTGTAAATGTAAATTCTTGGAACTGCGGCGCGCCAACCCTTTCGTTGGCGGCGTCAAAGGGCATAGGGGCGGCAACGAAAGACTAAAAAGGACGAGTTTGGTTGAGGGGGGGCGAAATTTTCGTTTCTGTTTAGTTTTCGGCGACAAATGAAGTTTTGGGGTTATTTGTATATAAGCGATACCGACCGTTCATTGACGACGATACGGGCTCTTTGTCTTTAGCTAATTACGGGGTTCGGGACCACCCCAAATCAACTACCAAAAAAACAGGGGTTCCAAAACTTTACCAAAACAACGTTTATTCCAAAAACCTTGTAAATATGCGAGTTAAAAATCCTTTTTTAATACACAATTCACGTCGGGGGGGCTTAAAACGTAATTAGGGGTGATGTTAAAGAAAATAAAAAAGTTTAGGGAAGTTTTATGGATCTTTTGGAAACCACTGATATATAGATTAACCCCCTACAACGTTTTAGTGGACCAAACTCTTCTGGAGCGTGAATTTAAGTCAACCGTGTCCAGTGCGGGTTCTTGCAACCCCCTTCTCCGACCCACCACATCACAAAAAGATTATAACAAGAAATTTGTTTTAGTATTAATAAAATGTTGTAAATTTGTTAGAATTCATTATATATTATTGGCAGGTTACCTTTTTTATTGTATTTAATCCATGTAAAGTCGATACGAAGCAACTTTGTAGAATTTTGACAGTGACATAACCTCAAATTTCATTTTTCATTAATTTCTTATTGTAATTCATGCTTCTCCGGTTGAAACCATTCAAAACGATAATTTTAGCATGTCAAGAACGTAAATCATCCATCACATGGGAGTTTTGATGAAGAATTGGACGAAAATCCGCAGATTGAATATATTTGGATTAGATTGAAGCCGGACGTTGAAATCTAAAAGAAAATGTTCCAAAATTAGCAACAAACAAAGTTAAAGCAACAAAATTACAACATTTAATACATAAATATCGTTAAAATAAAAATTTAAATAATTTTTGATCAAATTTAATTGGTGACATTTCACATTTCAAAGTTGGCGATACCGAAAAAATTTAAATTACGAATTTCAAGTTGAAGATTTTAACCAATCAGAAGACGTTATTTAAAAGGGCCTTGCAATAAACAAACGAAATTGGTAACTTTTAGTATGATTTCGAACGTGATGAGGAGCGTACGCTAATTTTGTCAGCGAGATAAAAATTAAAACAAATTAGGTTACCTGTCAATCACCATTGTGACATAACCT